TGGAGAGCTCTGTGCCCACAGCTGCACCGAGTGGTGCTGTCAGAATCTGAAGACGGCTCAGCCTGACACCAAAGCCTTCTTCTTCTTCTTCTTCTTCTTCATCATCATCATCATCAGCAGCAGCAGCATTATTTTTCTGAATTAGACTTTAGCCTTGGTCAGAACTTGCTGTAAAAGAGATAGGAACAAGGAGAGTCACAGGACCATTTGCAAATGGGGGCTGCTTATCACTTGGGGTCTGAGCATCCCTCCTTCACTGGAAGCTGAGCCAAACAATGGTCCGAATGTAAAGATCAGTGAGAACATGGCAGAACAGAGGTCCCCAGGAGCCCAGGTGCCAGCCAGAGCCCGGGCACTCAGCCTGGCTGGCTGGCCGGTCACACTGCGCTCTCCCTCCCCGACCTCTGTCTTCGCTCATAAGGGCACAATGCTGTTTCCTCTCCATCCTGAGTGACTGGCCTGTGGGCTGCTAGGCAGCCAACGTGTTCCAGGCTCCCCTGTTAATGGCAGGGGATTAGAAGGGAATGGAGCCAGCCTGCAACCGTAAAGGAGGCTATTGGAACTGAGGGTGAGCGTGGAAGGCAGCGGCGTCTCTTGCTTGTTTATTGACTCCGGTGCTCGCCACCAGTCTCTAAACTGGAGCTTGCCTCTGTTGTGCTGGCTATAAAATGGGAGATGCCGGTAGCACTCATCTCTTAACACTCAGAGGTGATGAGAGGTTAATCACTTTATGCCTCCAAGTTCTTCAGGCTCCAGGGCCGGGACCAGAAATGGGGTTTCCTTGCCCCCCTTATCAGAGTCCTCTCTGCTTTCTGAGGCTCCAATGTTAGAAGAGTGTTGGGGGAAGAGAAGCAGAAAAGAAAAAGGAGAATAAGAAAAAGGATTGGTTAGGAGGTGAAGGACACAGCTTTCAGAAACGTTTTGCATTCCCTTAGATCAGTGGCGCACGCCTGTGTTCCCAGAGGCTCGGGAGGCTGAGGCAGGAGGATCGCGAGTTCAAAGCCAGCCTCAGCAAAAGCGAGGCGCTAAGCAACTCAGTGAGACCCTGTCTCTAAATAAAATATGAAATAGGGCTGGGGAGGTGGCTCAGTGGTCAAGTGCCCCTGAGTTCAATCCCCGGTCCCCCCCCCCCAAATAAAAGCATCCAAAGAAGACAGTCTTGTTTGTGGATTTCTACTCTAGAATTCCTGGGTGAAAGGAATTCTTGGGCCAGAGGTGACAGTCACTGGAGATTCTCCACTGCGAGCCCTCCATGACGGGGCCAGCCATGCTCTGACTTCTCCAGAGCCTCTCTAGAGCTTTTGCCCCGTGCCCAGGTGCTGGGTGCCATTTCTGTCCTTCCTCCTGCCACTGAACTTCCGGTCTCTCTTCCATTTCTGGCCAGATCATAGTTATGGAGCCTCGCGGGAAGGGAGGCACGGTCACTCCAAGGGTCTTTGGGCAGAGTTTGAGCTTGTTCTATGGGGACGGTTTTTCCTTCGGAGACAAATCTCCTGCCAGGGAATCCTGAAGCCCAGGCTCAGCTGTCCCCTGCCACCCACATTTGTCCCCCGTTTTCTACCAGCTGATGTGGACTGAGGCAGAAAACAGAACTGGACACATTCTCTTTTCTAATCAGAGGGGAACATCTTGATTTGTAAGTTTAACAGATTTTCAGACAAAATCAATAGCCTTTCCATCACCTAAAAAGTCCCTTATTTTTCTCTGTACACAAAAGACTCTGGTAAACTCTTGCCTTATGTCAAGAGGACCAGACAACACAGCAGGGCCACTTGGATTCCTTTCCTTGATTCTGTTTTTCTTTTTAAATGTATATTCTAGTTGTAGATGCGCACAATACCTTTATTGTATTTATTTATTTTCATGTGGTTTTGAGAGGCTGGAACCCAGAGCCTCACGTGTGCTAGGCAAGCGCTCTACCACTGAGCTACGATCCCAGCCCCTTGATTCTGTCTTACCAAGGTGCTAAGCATCTTCTGCCTGAAGGAGCGATGGCAAAATAATCTCACATCTTCATTATCTGTGCCTTAAAAGACTGGAGTTTTCATATGGCTGGGTTCAATGATGAAGAACATCCCCTTGATGTCCCTCTGTGTCTCCACAGGTAGCACACTAAAGGGACAAATGAGTGTGGTGTGGGACAGGCAGGGAGGCGGGACCCCACAGCTGACCCAGTGCAACATCCCTAGGTTCTAGCACGGAGTAGGGCTGCTTGTGGAGACCTGTGGAGTAAAAGGGTTTTCTCTGCCGCAGAAGGACAGGTTTATAAAACTGCTTTATTGATTTATGAAAAGTGACTCAGAAGCTTCAAGATCCTGCCACGTGAAGTCCAAGTGGGCTCACTCACAAGATCCAGGGCTGGACAAGGTCCCCTCGCCCAAGGCTTTGTAGGCAAGGGCTGGCCAAGAGCGTCTGTGCTCTAGGGCTGCCAGAGAAAGAAGCGCTTGACCTCTGGTGTTTGTTTTGCAACTAACCAAGAACAAGAGGGAGCTTCTGAAATGTGTGCTTCAGGGTGCCGTGACGAAACCACGTTAGGAAACCTGT